TGCTTCCTGTAAGCTATCATGGCATGTTCCCAAAATTGCCATTAGGGTGCTCTAAAACACGCCAATTAGTATTCTATATAGAATTTATTATGTGAACATGAATGTACTTTGTACATTATGTACTTAATTTGTGTGGCCATTGAGGGTCACATCACCTGACAGCTGTCCCCCCCCCACTTTTAAAATGGCTGCTACGCCCCTGATCATAACAAAAATAAACACCGGTATTCGGTATGAAGCGGTATACCGCCCAGCACTACACCTTTGTTTACTTCTGTGTGTTGCACGGCAACCACTTTGTTGGAACCACAACAAGGATTTACATTGTTTGGTCGAAGAATACTGTTTTTATTTATATCATTACACTTTATTTGCTCTGTTTTATTCTGTGAAACCTTACTACATATATGGAATAACCGTTTTATAAAAGCAATAAGCCCCGTGAAGCCGTGGTTTACAGTGTATTTATAACAGCTAAGGGGCGTTGTTAGGCACGACGCCAAGCGAAGCCAATAACATACATGTAAACCACAGCTTCTTGGGGCTTATTGATTTAGTTTACTGGCATAGCGCCCACTTGCATTATGTTATGAATTGAGTTTGGAACGCAGCGGCACACAAAATCAAGATTGCACCGCTAGAAGCGTTTGCGCTCATGTACTCGTGTAGAGCGCTTCAAGCCTCAGAACTAACATAGACATCAAATCCAAAATTTCTAGGAAAGAAAGCATCTCACATTTATTATTTGCAATCAGAGGTGAGAGATTGCATTTCACTTCTGAATAACCATTTTAGTTCAAATGCGATAATACGGTGCTTCTAGGAGATGTGCTTGCTGTGCCAACTACATGAAGGCAATTTATTCACTTTCAAGAGGTGAGCGGGTATCTCTCACTGGTTTCAGAATGCTTCGTTTGTGTGCTTATAAATAATTGCAGAGGTTGAGAGGAGAAAAGAACAGCGCATTAGCAAAACACGCAGCAGACAGGGAGGTGAGCGGGGTGGGTTGCCAATTCCCTGCCCTATTTTATTGTGTCCCTCCGCAGATATGGTTAATTCTCCTTGGCTCACTTTTTAATCCAAAGCCATTTCATTATTTATGCACCCACGTACACACAAAGGGCTGTCTGCTTCCCCTTCTCCTCGTGGTTCCTCTCCTGGGGAAGGAAACAAAAGTTAATTGAAATAAATGAACTGGGGAGTGAATCAGAGTTGATTACATCTGCGAGGTAGGAAGTGATGTTGATTACAAGTGCAGAGAGAGCGAGAGAATGTAGCTGCGGCTAATGAAGAGACATGCTTGTCTGTTGCCTTTATCGAAGACATCCACAGATCCTCTCCAAAAAGACACTTGCCTCAGAACCCGAAAAATTGCTTGCACTCTGAAGACAATGAAAAGGTCTCCTTAAAAGAAAAGCTTTTTTTAATTCGCTCATCACTTTTTCACAAATATAACTGTCAGGCAACAGAATTAGTATTATCATTCATACTTAGAATAACTGTACACTATGTAAAATTAGTAGCACAGACACTATACAAAGGAGGGTTCAGAGGTCAGGATGGGCAGAACTGAAGTTTAGAAATAAGGATGCTAGCGATAGCAACTAGGCTAAATTTATCTGTCAATATTTAGTCATTTTGGGATTGTCCAATTAACAAATTTGGTTGATCCACATTATGTAGTTTCAAATCTAGCAATCCTGTCAATAGATAATTAATATTTTTGGTTTTAATTTTTGTGGATAAATGGATAAAGTGTGTTTAATTTAATGTGCCGATTAACAGATTTGGTAGTTTGCTTTATGTCCATATCTAATAACAACCTTGTCTTAGTCTGTTTTTTTGCCTTGCTTTACAGTACAAATATAATTCTGAAAAATTCTTAAATTTAGATATATTTACTTGCAAAATGACATAAGTCTTGTTTTCTGAGGGGGGGGGGAAATCAAAATTAATTGAGTTAATAGGGTCAGTGGGGTTAGAAAAATACAGATTATTTTCTTACCCCACTGGCAGGTATTTTTTCTTGTTCTAAGCAAAATTTGCTTCATTTAAAATAAAAAATAGCTTCTCAATTTTGATTTAAGAATTTTCATATATTTGTACTGGAAAAGTAGACAAAAATACTGAGTAAAAACTATTTTTTGCAGTGTATAGTTAATATTAAAAATAATCAGTTTCTGTTTTCTTTTTTTTTTTTTTTTCAATTTGAGTATATATTGTGTAAAATCGATCGCCATTGCTCGATAAACAGATTTGGAAGTTACTACTTTCATTTTCAACAGATAGTAAACCTTTTTCTTTTTTTTAATTTTATGTGAGTTTTGAGTAAACATTGTATAAAATGCATTTACTCTTAGCAATTTTGTGTACGTCTGTATAATTTGCCAATATATTATATAGATATCAGCATTACATCATCGGCAAGCCTGCTCTTTACAAATATATTTTGCACCATATTGGCTGTATATTACAGCACTTTGTTTTCTGAGAGTGTTTATCTCCCTCCATTAGTATTAAGCACCACAAATGTCTTCCCTTTTCCTACCTCTGCCCCTGAGACAACAAATTATCATTACACATAGCAAAAAAAACAAATCGCTTTAGCACCACAGTGGGAACACACAACAAACAAGACATATCAACACACATACACAGCACACAATCCTATGAGGTTGATGATCAGGAACTTGGTAATCACAAATTCAGATATGAATGAGTTTACATTAAAAAGAAGCATAATTTAGTCAGTCTTCAGTGTAATGCTCGTATGACACCCCTCTCTCAATCCGACAGTATTTTTCATTCATTACCACACATATATGAAGCAATTCAGCTGTGTGGAGCAAAGGTTGATACGCTAGCGCCATGGAAACATGGATCACTGACAGGCAAACATACTAGGCTGCCCGCTAACAAGACAAGCAGCTTAAGTGAGCGGACTACTTTACATATTAATAAGCAGCTGGGCTCCATTTGAGTCATGCACATAAACTGCTTTGCGTTTTGAAAAGCTCGGGCCTTATTTAGCATTGTTTATGTATGAGCGTGCACTGATTAAAGATGAGTAACACTGCAAGTTTGATGCGACAGGGAATATCCAAGCGAGGAATTACAAACAGATATTTTCTTGTCAAACAAGTAAAGAGGTATAACATTGCCTCAGTTGGCATCATATTGCAGTCAAGGCAGGAAAGTGGGTCTCAGAAATATTTACTCTTCAATGTCGAAGCTGATCCCTCAAGTGGCAAATTAATTTCAAATCATTGCTATCAAATGAGACAAACAAATATGAGATCCCAGTCACAGGCTGTAAATTCAACATATATGCTGTGGGCTAAAACGGTCTGTGGCGCAGGTGACAGACAAACGATGTATTTGTTTTTCAGCTGGAGCAGTTCTGGGAACTCTAGTGGGTCACGCCTCATAATTTAATCCACAGGTGAGTACAGTATAAAGACAGACAGAAAAGGAGATAAAAAAGACTTCCCTTTGATAAATGTGCTTAGTTTGTCCTGGTTGGCATCCTTGCATAGCCACCATGGATTTGTGGGCTTTTGCAACTCATCAGATGTTTAAAAGTCATTTGGAAACATGCCACAAACCCACCGTCTACATATTACTTAATAAATATCACTGGTGGCCTCGTTTCTTTAGCTGGCGAGTCCTGTGATGAGGCACTCTGTGTTATCCATTAAAACACACTGGTCCAACATGGAAGCCAAACTTCTGGTTGTTATTCCCAAAGTCTGATACTGCTACATCTATGACTGGAAGAAGCTCTGATCGCGACGAGTCAATCTGCAGCACGGTTCTCTCTTGGCCCTTACGTGTCTGTGGAAAGAAAATGAAACGTGAGCTGAAAGAAAGTTCCTGGTTTGGGCTTTTATAGTGTATTTTTGCTTGGGGATGAATTGCTGAGTGTATCCCTGTGAGGTTCCGTTGTTGGATAATGCATTAAACTCCTGCTGAAATAGGCTTATTTGGGTGCTATTTTAGAATTAGCTTGTTCTGACTGTTTTTAGCTCCCCATTCTCCGCTGAGGGAAGGCTAGTTTGGTGATTCATTAAACTCCAAGAAACTAAGTGTGGGCATTTTTTTCTAATGCCGAGTTCACACTGCATGATTTTCAAACTCGTCGGATCGCCGTTGTTTTCACACTGCGTGTCTATCTGGGGTAGCATTCAGTTGCTGCTGTGTTCACACTGCACGATGGATCGGCGACATGGGGTTTCACATTGCATGACTTCACAATAGGAAGAATGATTTTAGCCCCATTTTTCACTCGCCGACAGGTTTTGCGAAATCGCCGACAAATGCCCGGGGCTAATATCGTGCAGTGTGAACTCGGCATAAGGAAGTGTTAAACTAATACTTCCCATACAGACAAAATTACTGTTTACAAACAAACACACGGTGACGGCATAACCAGGTTCTTCAGGAAAAGACCTGCAGTAACTATCAAAAATGTTAAAGGGGTCCTATTATGCCCTTTTACAAAGTCTTGATTTGGTTTTTGGGGTGTACTAGAATTGCACTATACGTTTGAGGGTGTTTATTCACCAACCTGTGGACAAATTGCTTGTGTGAGGTCATCTGAATTTCATTAATCTCCTCACCTGACAACCATCATGCAGTGATGTGATAAAGGGCGATTTGGCTTGCGTCATTTCCTCGTCGTTGCTGCCGCGGAACCGTACGGCATGTTGATGGCTGTGGCTCGCCACGTCGTACCAGCCGACGGAGTTCTGGCAGCTATAGGTGAAGGTCTGCGTAGCTGTGGCACTGAGGAGCTTCAGGAAGGTCAGCTGGACCACAGGCACTGGATTTCCATCAGTGTCAATATAGGAGAACTGCAGCAATGGGGAATCATGGGTAAGGAGCACTCAGCTTAATCAAAGACAGTTCTTTAGACACATTTATTGCGTGACATCCATACTAACTTGCACACCCCTCCTAGATTTTATTTCTAACAAAGGCAGGAGAGAGTGACATCTGTCTTCCTTAATCTCTATAACAAGGTCAGATGTCACACCTTACGAATGAGCTCCGAGTGAAACAGGCTTTAGCTGTTAGTCTCAAGCATCATTTAATGAGTCAAGACGGATGGAGGTCGCTAGCGTGCACTCAAGAGAGTTTGGCCCGAGGCATTTCAGATAGAGCCGCATATAAATTCCACCATATCCCTTTTCTAGACCAGACATACCATTTATTTAATTTTTTTTTTAATCAAAGACACATACCCACTGAGTGGTGCATCTCTGTTGATTGTTTGACAGTTTAGAAAATCTCTTTCACTATGTTCCACCATTAATTTGAGAGTAAAAATTCTGTATAACAACTGGTCTATTTATTGCATCAGGCAGTATGTTTCTAACAAATTATGGCCTTTCTGTTTATCGACAATAAACAATTTTGAGGCAAAAAGTTATATAAAAAGGTGTCTAGATTCAAACTCGGTGCTGCATACGTGTTGACAGTCAGACAGTTAAAAGATGAGAGAAAAACACTGCAAGGGAAAAGCACCTGTTTGCCCTTTCTGTACTGGCTGTACCAACTGCCCGGTTTTTCTTTGTTCCAGGCGGCCAGCTTTACCTGTATTGATAGATGAGGAGACAGATCAGATGTGTTTTTCTTCAGACTCCAGAAGGCCTGTTGAACTGAGACTGCAGGAAGACGTGTGTAGTGTACGTGAGTATGGTTTGAGAGTCACCATTTCAAATCGTTTATCAGGGTGCAGACAGGTCTCCCCCTCCGCAGTGAAGTTGCAGAAAACCTTAATGGAGTCTCGATGGCAGCCTTGGTTTGGGTCAATCCAATATTCACCTAAGAGGGGGTGGATTGCAATATCTCTTAAAATAGTTTTTAAATACTCATTTAGCTGAGGAGAATAACATGGGGCAAATTCACTAAATAGTCCCTTTCAGTAATTATTTTTTTTAATTAAACACACAAAGAGCACAAATACAGCTCTTTTCTATGTAAATTAGAATCATTAAAGATACTGCTAGTGCTATTTGCCAATGTCATGTGGGATTCGGAATTGAGAATCCTTCTTATACAGGTGCATCTCAATAAATTAGAATGTCGTGGAAAAGTTCATTTATTTCAATTCCGGTCAGCGCCGATGGCCTCGTGGGCAGTGCGCTGACATGTAGCGCCATTGCGCTTCGGGCGTCCCGAGTTCGAGTCCAGGCTCGTGGACCTTTCCCGACCCCACCCCCCTCTCTTTCACCCACTTCGCTTCCTGTCAACGTACTGTCCTATCTAAATAAAAGGCATAAAACGCCAAAAAAAAAAAAAAATCCAAAAAAAACGCTTGCATGGTGTACAACACGGTATTTTGTACAATTGCGTGCTTACCTTATGTTACCAAGAATTTGTAAATTCTGAGAAATTCACAAATTTAAATAGTGCTCATCCCTAGCCACTTGTCGCCTGTCAAATAAGTGGCATTTTGACAAGAAAAGGAAAATTTGTCAAGAGAAAGTTTGAAAGTCATATATATATATATATATAGATATATATATATAGATGTGTGGTGTAGACAAGTGCACGTTCTGCATTTTTAAAAGCTGATTCAGGTGTCTGGATTTCAGTGGAATGTAGTGATTCTATATAGTTCCAGTGAAGTTTGTCAGATTGTGGTAGTCTGTAGCATCTTTTACAACCAAGCACTCTGAATTGACCTGCTTGATAGAGAATTGCACTGTGCAAATTCTATTCAGCTTAGATTGTGTGCTGTTACCTGATTTGCATAATTCCTTTAGTGAACAGGGAGCATGTGCAAATAAACCAAGACAGGCACAATTAGCAGGCATTCTTAGTGAATTTCCCCCCATAGAAGAAATTAATTAACTAATGGAAAATGTGTGTAAATTTCCTCACCATCTTTGTATTCTGGATGGCACAACATCAGCTCCTTGCATGTGCGGGCAGGACTCTCGAAGGTCCCGAGTGGTTTTCTCATGAGCTCCACCTCTGTTTTCATTGAGTTGAGTGAAGCGAACACCTCCTCCATGCCTTCTGGGTCATCCAGGGACTCGTCTGCCTGTAGGAAATCCTCCATGTTGAGCTGGACTGCTTCCTCGTCCTCACTCTCTTCCCTGACTCTGGCTCCTTGTCGGTTTGGATGTCTCCTTCGCTTTTTACGTCCCTCTCTGATTGGCAGAGGCTCGATCATGGTGGCTGGTGGGCCCTAGAGAAACAGAGTGATGGGAGACATGAGGAGACAGGAAAACAGAAACAAACAGAAAAGTAAGGAGACAATATGATGGCTCACAGGTAGTCCAGGTGGGCCAGCAGGTCCTGGATCTCCTCTTGCACCGAAGGCTCCCTTCGGGGGGAGAGAAACAGAAACAGTTTAGTCAGGCATCCCTAAAATTGTCACTTCCCTCAAAGGCCCCTGCCAACTCAGCGCTTCATAGGGCAATTCGTTCAGAGGGATTATCCAAGTTAGAGCAGCAGGATACAACTCAGGCACTGACAATGTCTTTCACTCAGGTTTCATAACAGAAGCAAAAGCTCAGATCAAAACAAACAAATACCATATAAACCGAGAGAGGCTGAAAAATAAGATTGCAATGAAAAATATATATACCAACCTGGTCTCCTTTAGATCCTTTCTCACCTATTGCACCCTACCAGTGAGATAGAAAATAGCAGTATTGAAAAACTGGCAATATGATTCTACAAATACATTTAAACATACCAGGTACCTTCATAAGGAGTTGCTGTTCCTCAATAAAACTAAGGTAAATAGAGTGACAAAAAGGAATGCATATAAAAACTCACAGACAACCCGGGGGGTCCAGGTGGACCAGTCGGGCCAGAGGGACCAGAAACACCCTATTATCAAGAGATCAAAATAACATTTTCTTTAAGACCATCATTAATAAAGGCAGTTAAGGGGGGTCCGTGTAACAATTTCATTATTATCATCTGTCTTTTTCATTGGCACCTGACAACCAAGATTCTACCAACTTCTATTAGGCTACTAGTCATTCATGCTAACATTTACCCAACAATCTATCGACAAAATAGACATTAAATTCAAATGCATTATACCTTTCTAAGACATGGTTCATACAAGAAAAGTATAGCTTTTTATTGAACATTTCTCATGAAACAATCTTACTTTCTCAAGTTTCTTAGCATGTGCTCAGTGAGTTTGTGATTGGCTTGTTTAAGAATGTTTGTGCATTGTTGCATACTCTACTTTATTTACATTTACATACATTTGATTACATTTTTATAAAATACAGACATACATACATTTTAATAAAACTCAGAAGAAAAATTCCAACAAAGACCAGAAATCTAATGCTTATATACTATAAAGTATATTGTTCATAAAAGCAGAAATGTATACATACACCATTTCCTTTGGGGCCTTGTACTCCCTGATTTCCTGGCAGGCCTCGATCTCCTTTCTCTCCCATTTCTCCTGGTGGTCCAATAAGTCCAATCAGCCCAACATGACCCTAGACAGCATAAAGAACAGCAGAGCTAGACTAGTGCACTGAGCCATTACAGTTACCACATGCCATAATTTTGCAAACACAAAGACTTCACAATATTTCACAATGAGCACAGTGCTGGGAAGTTATGCTTTGAGAGTTTTATGCTTGGCTTTAGTGAGAGATGTACTGTAATTGGAAAAAAAAACACATCTATGATGCAGTCAGGTATCATACCTCACAGTGTCAAGTGTTTATGATACTCTCATACCTTATCTCCTTTAATGCCAGGATCTCCTTTCAGTCCTGGTAATCCAGCTGGACCCTATATAGAGCAAAGCCAATCACAAAATTCAATTTAATTTTGAGGCAGAATTTGCCACAAGCCCAAAATCATCTGTCTTCTTTTCTTAGAGTTGTAGATCGATATGGGAGAGAAAGAAGTGGTGAAAACCTTACCATAGGTCCTGGGGGTCCCGTTTGCCCTGGGGGCCCATTTAACCCTTGCTCTCCCTGAAAAGGACCAGACAGACTGGTAAGTTCAAGATAGATTAAGCATTCAGAGAGATCAGTAATAAGAGTGGGTAAGTCACGTTGTTCGATATCTGCTATTTATAGCAGATTAATTTACTGTAACACAGACTCACAGCAGAGCCTGGAATCCCACGCAAACCCTCTGGACCAGGGTTTCCAGGGTGTCCCTGTGGTCCGACAGGCCCTGTTTTTCCCATTGGACCCTCGGCACCAGCAGAACCCTGAAGAAGATAAAAATGACAGTTGTCCTTGTGTAAAAAGGGGTACATGCTACATATGATTTTACGTGAAGATTTATTATAAAAAACTCACCTTTGCCCCCTTTTTTCCCTGTTTCCCTTCTTTTCCCTCAGGACCTACATGACCCTGTGTAGAAGGAGACTAGTGATTAGATTACAGAGTTTTTTTTATAGTATGGGAATCATTCAATACACAATCAAAACCCACCCTCCGTCCAGGTGGCCCTTGAGGGCCAGGCTCTCCTGAGGCTCCTGGGGGTCCCTGTTCAAAACAGAATATTTATTTGAATTAGTTTCACAAATGTATGATTACATCGATATCTCTAAATGCTTGAATACTCTACTTACAGCTTTACCAGGTTCGCCATTATCCCCTTTAGCTCCTGGACCACCATCAATACCCTACAACCAAAAATTATATTCAAATCACCATGTGAATTTACCATCAAAATGTGTCAATCTTGAAGCTTGAATTGATGCAGGTGTTGCTGCACTTACATTAGCACCTGGCTCTCCAGGGGGTCCCGCATCTCCAGGAAATCCAAGGGGACCCTATTGAGGAAAATGGATGGTGTCAGAGTAAAAATATCCCGACAGTTTTAGCTATGGGAATAGTTACTTACTGGGTTTCCTTTGGGTCCATCTGATCCAGGTGTGCCTCTGATTCCTGGGGGTCCTGCAGCTCCAGGGGGGCCAGTATCACCCTTCTCACCCACTTCACCTTTCTCTCCCTTGACATTAAAGCAACAGGGAGGTTAGTGATACACAGGGGATCAAAGACTAATGAGAAAAGAGGCAACAGGAAGAAATTACTTACAGGGGGGCCAGTTTCGCCCACATTTCCTGGATTCCCTGCTTCTCCATCCTCACCCTAGACAGAGAGCAAAAGAGACCGGCAAAGAGAAGGAAGCAAAAAGAAAGAAAGCAACCATCTATCATACTTAGGCTTACATGTTTACGTAGTTACAGAGGCAGCACCCTCCAACAAATAAACACAACCTCCCCCATAAATCACAAAAACACTTGTACATATACACAGTGAGAGGGAGGTCTACCTTTTCTCCCACCATTCCTGGCTGGCCCACTCCGCCCGGCATGCCCTGAGGACCCTTGCCACACAGAACAAAACTGAGTCAGTTTCATTCATAATGCATGCAAGGCTGTCTCCTCTACTTGCAGACTGTTGACATTACAGTGATGAGATTACAGACTACCAAGCATGGTCTCTGTGTATATGCAATCATATTTTATTAAGCTAAAACGCCATATTGTTCAGCTTCCTCCTGGCTGAGGCATTTATGGCTGCAATGGCTGAGTATGAATATCTTGGATGAGTCTAAACTGAAGTGGTTGCCCTGGTCTCTGGAGTGTCTCTGCTGAGTGCCTTTAAGTGAGGTGCACACATGAAGCCAAATAGATGACCAGCACATGTATACTGGCCGCTTCTCATATGATGGGCACAATGAGCTCCGGTGCACAACACTTCTCTTCTCCTCTTCAGCTCTGTGAGAGTGCTGGTGTACGGGTCACTGCAACATTTGTCTCTGTTCTCTCACTTTTCAATTATTAACACATGGGAGATGTTCAAAGGCGGCCATTAATAGAGGTAAATATAACTCTCTCTCAAGGATGATAGTCTAATATTCCTTAATCATTCATAGAGAAGTAAATATAACTCTTGCAGAAGGATCATATCCCACTTCTTGTTAATAATTTAACGCTCAAAATCAGCAGAGGGTGGGCAGAAAGAGATATGGGGAGGATGAAAGACTGAGGAAAGAGAAATGAGGTGTCGTATGTGACCTCATAACAGCCTGGGGGGTTTTCATCTGCAGAGTGTTGATACACAGGATGGGTTCTTTGGAGTCGTGAAACAAAGACTTATTATGTTTCAGCAGTACTGGGACAACAACCCCTAATCAGCGCTAATCTACTGTCCTGCACTTGAACCCTACAGCTAAGCAGTCTGATAGACAGGAAGGAAAACACAAAGACACTTACCTCTCCCCCAATGGGTCCCTGGGGGCCACGTGGGCCATGTTGTCCTGGAGGGCCCTGATGAGAAGCACAAAGTTTAAGCATTTCCCACATATCATTAGACATGTACTCTCTCTTTTGCTCTCTCTCCTCTTTTTGTACAATCAGCACCTTTCTCTGTGTCAGAGAGGTGTTTTTTTTTCTCTGACATGGTGGTGACAGGCTATTACGGGCGGGCTGATTTCCTCGCTGTGTGCTGTGTCTGGGTTTTAATGAGGACCATCTCACTTCTCCATTCTCTGGTTGCACTGCATGAATTCTCAACTCCTGAAGTATACCTCTTATTGCTGCGGAGGGCGGAACATGAGCCATTAATCAAACTGACCAAAACCGTTGCTAGCACACTGCACGCGGTCTTCACCAAGAGATATTAGTGCAGCGCGAGGCATCCAGCTGGATAGACTACCGCGAGGATCAACACCAAGGCTGAGTGTGTGTATGCTCAACAATATACAATATCCTACTCTCCAGAATCCATCAAAGAGGCTTAACACAAACTGGTACAGGGAAAACGGGAAATTCAGTGGCTATGCATTAGGGCCTGGGAATCCCATGATCCACGGCATTCTCTCATGGATGAGATGTTCCCAGTGAGGTCTTGTGGCTTTGTTTTTGCCCAGTTTTGATGCACTTCATCTAATCGTGCAAGTGTGTGGAACTGTTGACAATCTTGTTTTGCATTCCTTCATGGTTGACGGAGCCGCGAGAAGATTGTCACAAAGGAGTGTGCTCATTAGACAGCCCAGGCTCACGGTAATCTGATTAGCAGCTGTCACGCTGCCTTCCACTTCAGAACCAGCATCACTCTCTCTTCTGTCACTCTCGGCTCACACGGGCCTGACACTTATACACTCACACTCATGAATAATGCCCCAGTCTCATACAGCTTCTCTCATGGTTTCCTCATCTTTCACTGTATTATAGTTCTCTACTGACTCTCATCCTACACACACAGAGTCCTGTTAAGAGAAATGCTGTGCAGGTTTGGAATGTTGGACTGACTTAATACTCGAGTGAATGATTGTTTCTTCATGAATAAATTTGTACAACAAACTATGTTTTTACATTTTATGTTAATGTAAGTAAACGTGAGTTGTGCTTGAGGCTCCAGGAACAAGTTTGGGAACCACTGGTTTAGCAAAGTAACAGCACTGTTCTCTTTGACAAATGACATGATCTGAGGAATCATTCAGGTTTGGGACAACTTGCATGTAGAAGTGTAGTACTTATGAATCTTCCTTTCTTTTGGAGAATTTTACAATTCCATTTCTATATTTGCAGTCTACGAATTTGGGATCCAGACTTTTAATTTGTACTAAAGGTAGAATTAAAAATGTTAGCAATTCTCTATATCAATATGCACTGTTGAACTTCCTCAAACGCCTCGATTGTAGTCCTGAGTTTTCTTACAGTCTGACAGACAAACAGCTGTTTGAATATATAGAAATTTGTACTTTTTCAAATTTATATATACTTCTTTATATCTGGCCATTTCATGGACTAGGGTGAAAGAACACTTCAACTCAAATACAGTCAGTTCAAATCCAAATCCTCCTGTGGGATGTGGCAAATTCAATAAAAAAAAAAATACAACTCAAGAACTAAAAGAGAGATGATTTTTTTTCCCCCCAAAATTGCTGCACGCATTGTGTATCATTTAGGGGTATTATAGAGGCTAAAAAAATGATTCTAGTGCCAAAGTATTCATATGAGGAGTTTATGATATGCACATCTTACCATAGCTCCAACATGGCCACTCTCTCCCTTCTCTCCTGGGGGTCCTGGCATTCCCTAAAAAATAAACACATTTCATTTTAGAGACAGTTTCAGAATTAAGGTGGATTAACCCCCTCAATGAACTGTGAAAACTATGTCCCATCTGGATGAAGATGAGCTAAGATTTTGCAAACAGTGAATTCATGCATGCAGTCAATAGATAAGGACATCTGGAACTGACAGAATGCTCAATATGTAACTACTCAGGGATGTAGATTTAAAATGACAGTCTATTTGCAAAAATGTCCAGAAAACCAAACAATCTTCTGTTATTGTTATTGTTTTTTATAGACCCAACTTTGATTTCATCGGTTTAGTTTGGTTTAACTTTACAGTCGCAGTGTGGAAAGATGGTCTGAAAAATCATATGTATGTGGCATAGGCTGTACCTGCAACCCTGGTGGTCCATTTGCCCCTTTAAAACCGCGAGGACCTTCATCTCCTTTAGGGCCGTACATTCCTTGCTGTCCCCGGGGCCCTGGCTCTCCATCCAGACCCTGAAAGAGACATGAGTGCTGGACTATGAACACACACAGAATTGTAAGCAACATCACCCTCACGCACACCACACTCATACATACTGGTGCTCCTGGCTGTCCAGGAGGTCCTTGGCTCCCAGGTGGCCCTGGGGGACCCTGTGAAATAAAATGCAGAGATATGGTGTTACATACCTCTAATGAAAGTTCATGTAATATTCAGAACATATGACAAGATTAAGGATGTGCCCGAATAGTGAATCCGTATTCGGAAAGGCACAGAAAACAAATAAAGCGTTCTACGGAGCCACTAAAGGGACATGGTTAGCATCTTGCTAGCAGTAGCTTGTTACATTACAGTATATAAAATTTCACTTACCACATAAACAGATTAAAGAGAGATGACTGATAGGACGATGGCAAATGATTTGCAGATCCTGAGCACCACTGACATTTAATCTTGTAAACTGAAATCTAATCTTGTAAAATGTGTGGTAAGTACAGCCGCTCCATAGTATACACAGAGTAGGTGTGAATCTTGAAAGTGAAAGTAAAAAAGTGAGCACACATTCAAAAGTGATTTCAATGCCCCGCATATTAATAGCGGCTTCCTGATGCCCGCTTTTTATATACAGTGTAATTACCCAACGATATAATTATGAGAGAAAGCATTGAAATATATTTTTTCCTCCCATCTCATATTTATTCCCTTTAGGGGTTCCTTAGTACACATCATTTCCTTTCCGAACACGGTATTCAGATTCGGACACATCCCTAGACAAGATAGAGATACTAACCCCCTCTCCCTTGTCTCCTTTGCTGCCTTTCTGCCCTGGTCCTCCTGTCTCCCCCTGAAAAACATACTCATGCCCATAAATAACAAGCAGTATGAGCACAAGCATGTGCAACTGCTGAAAAAGTAGTCAAAGCTGTACCTTATCTCCGTCCTCTCCAGGTGGACCAGGTGACCCTGCAGGACCAGGTAATCCCACAGGCCCTTGTTCTCCATCTCGCCCAGCAGGACCAAATGAACCTTTCTCACCCTAAAGAGGAACAGAGGTAATTAGTAATTACTCTTGAAGCTACTCTAGCACAGTAGTAAATCTTCTCATTTCACAAAGTAAAATATCCTGTCGTCACTTACCGGGTCGCCCTTCTCTCCCATTGGCCCAGGGGGGCCAACACCTCCCGTACGACCAGGCTGACCAATGGCACCTGCAGGTCCAGCAGGTCCTCTTTCTCCTGTGGCACCCTGTACAGACAAAGGAATGTAACATTTTAGTTAGGTGGAGTATATTGAGGAAAACACAAAGGAGGAGGAAGGTGTAGGACAATGGAAAAATCACTTACAATTGGTCCTGCAACACCAGGGGGGCCTTCCCCACCCTTCAGACCAGCAGTACCCTAATAAGCCATAAATGTAAGACAGTAGAGATAAGATATATATGTCCAAAAAAATCCTAGAACAATTGCCATCTGTCTATTTGTACAAAGCCTGCTGTCATATTGGAACAGTTGTCACTTATGTAAAGGCAGCAGCCATGACAGCAGGGATTATAAGAAGATATTCTCCCAGATGTGCTGAGGTACGTTACCAGAGTGCCAGGTAAGCCTCTTTCTCCTCTGAATCCATGACGCCCAGCAGGACCACTCTTCCCGGGCAGCCCTGCGGGGCCTGGATCTCCCTGGAGACCAGAGAACACAGAAAGATGGATCTCTGTTTCCACAACTCTCTCACTCATTAGGAGTCATCCATCACTCTTTATAGGCACTGAGCCATGCTGGGAGCTCTATTCATATTGAATGAGCAGAAACATATGGAGTGTAATGAGCAATGTAACTTATAACTAGATGGATGTGTTTGGTGTGCTACGTGATGATGATGATTTCAATGCTATCTAATCTAATGCTATATCTAACCTTGGCTCCCTCTTTGCCTGTGACTCCTGGCAGACCTTGCTCTCCAGGGGGTCCTGGGGCACCCGGATGTCCCCTGTCTCCAGTGGGACCAGTCTCCCCAGTTTTTCCCTGGAATAGAAGATAAGTGAGACAGCTTTATTACAGTAGATCAGATCAAACATTCATAAATGTTGCATAGCTTCATGGAACTGAACGAAGACCATGAAGCAGGAAGGCATTGTTCATTCAAGCCTGTATGATCGACCTACCTGTGGGCCAATCACTCCAGCAGGCCCGGGGGGACCAGTCTTTCCTTGAAAACCCTGTATGAAAAAACTTGAATGTGAAAATGTTCTTTCCCACTGCTTATCAAACAACTAATTACTATTCAGTGTATCTAGATATGGAAATTAATTTAAAGCCCAAGATGGGCCCTGTCCCAAATGTTGTCCTCACCCCACTCTTGGGTGATGTGATGCCGCATAAAATGTCGGGTAGTAATTCACAGTGAAGTCTGCATTAGCTCAGCACTGAGGGCAAACAGTGGCTCTTAAAAGCACTTGAGTAATTAAATGACAAATGGGACACACAGTGGTCTCAGGGTCTTTGCTTATTTGTCATTTAAGGATTCAGAAGGGTGCTCTCAAGTCACATCAAATGTGTCACAAGTCCACATCAAGCACACAATTTGGGACATGACTATGGTTACCTTTCTATGAAACGATTCTTTTTAAAATATGAATTGACTCACTGGCTCTCCCCGTTGGCCTGGGTGACCTGGCAACCCGTCCTTTCCTGGAGGGCCCTGAAAAGAAAGGACAAAAAAACGTTAGAGATATCCTTTCATTCTCTCAAAGAGTTTTCTTTCTTTACTGGTCACTTACGTTTGGTCCCTTTGGCCCGGCCTCTCCATCGCGTCCTTGTGGACCTTGAGGGCCCTTAAGCAGAGCAGAAGAAACACTGTTATTCATTTATCTCTGGCAATGAAAAGAAATGTGAAATCTCACATTAGTTTAGTAGATTGACCATGTAATACGAGGAGAATTGTAATAGATAACACATACTCTCTCTCCTGCGGCACCTTGTGGACCGTCATGACCAGCAGAGCCCTGAACATAAGACAAAGAAAGGGACGTCACATGAATTTAAACAAATACCATACCACCTATTTAAAAGGAACTCTATAGGATCATTGTCTGTATGAGGATGGATTTCTTACCTTGGCTCCAGGCTTTCCTGTCGGTCCTCTTGCTCCTCTTCCCCCACGTGCACCCTACAACAACAGGAACCAAACACACAAACATGCTTACAAAACAAATGCATGATTAAAACAATTGTTCAATCAATTATTATTGACTGTTCCCTCAATAATCCCTGCATGTGTATGTAGTAAAACAATAGATGTTTTACATTTCATTAGTATGCTTAAGACTTACATTTGGACCTCTTTCACCATCGGGACCAGTCTGTCCAGCCGGACCCTGTAAAGAAAGCATATAAAAATGAGCACACACACATTGATGCAGCGGGGTATGTGTAGTCCCTCGGACAGTGTACCTTGGCACCGGCCTCTTACCCTCTTTCCTTTCTCTCCTTCCACCCCAGCTGTTCCAGGAAAGCCCACCGATCCCTGTGGACCGACGCGAAGGTTAATCAATTACCACATTCCATTCATTAATCAAACTCTACATTTAATTAACCACAAATTAACCTCTGAAGTCCCATTACCATAAATAAGCCAAATAATAATTGTAGTTTCAGATAAGCTATTAATAAAACAGCCTCTAAATGGCCATTAATCATCCTCAGTAAAAATGTAATATTGAAATATTAATATACCATGACTGAGACCTGCAGCTTTCAGATTTCGGTAAAAAAAAAAAAAATCAGGTTATTGTTATTTCAATGATAATTCTTTACCTTAGAGCCTTGCCTGCCGGGATATCCAGGCAATCCTGGAACTCCAAGTTTGCCCTACACATGGAATGAGAAGTCAGGAAAATTAAGGCAAAAAAAAAAATTATTGGAATATAAACAATGCCCATTAGACTAGAAGCCGCAATTACCTTTTCTCCAGCAATGCCTGCAGATCCGGGCTCTCCCATGGGTCCTGACTGACCCTTCAGCCCCTCTGGTCCATCTTCACCATGATTTCCAGGAGCCCCAGTATCACCCTGAAAATGCACACACACAAGTTACTATTAAATCTGCAATATATGCCATCTATAAATACACATTACATTTTCTGAAGAAATTTTGAGTGGTTATCACCATTTTTTTATGTATGGTTTTGGCAAAATACCTTTTCTCAAAAAGCTGCATGATACGAAGTGTAATTTGTGTCCATAGCACAAACGGTGTGGGACCACTCAAACATTGTAGTTTAATATTTAAGGCATTGAAAATTTTTGAGAAATAATAATGATGTTTGTTTTAACAAGCACACTATTCGGGCTGAATGGAAAGACTCACTCTGTCTCCCTTGATACCCATGTCACCCTTGGCCCCTGGGAAACCATCTTCACCCTGTAACGGACAAAAATAATTAAATTATCCACAAATACCTTGAAATTACTCCACACAGATGTGCAGCATGAAAACAGAGTGCATTCAAGAAACGACAGAGAACGTCATACATCATGTGAAGCCACTATCAGTAAAGCACAGTGGTTTATCACTACACTGATAACTGAATGAGTCTTCTCTTTCCTTGGCTTTGTTATGAGAAAACAAGTGGATTATGTTTTTTCTCTCACCTTCTCCCCCTTGCTACCCTTCAGTCCCCTCACCCCATCTGCACCCTGTTAGAAAAGAACAAAATTTATCAGTGTGTGCCGCAGAGATCTCTGCACATCTCCAAACCTCAGGTAGGGAACGTTCACCTGAAAGGCAGAATCTCAAAAATGATGTCTTGACATGAATACCAGCACTGACTGTTTAAAGTAATAAAAGTCACGGCTTGCAAAATGCTGGAGGGGAGAAATACAGCAACAAATAAAAATACCATTGTGACAGAATATAGACACAGACGATAATAATCTGGATGACAAGCTAGCAAGATAAATCCATTTTTTATTCCTTGACCACATGCTGAAGGCATCACACACTTCCACACAAACAAGCCCAGACAGGTTCATTTTCCTCCTTGTTGCGTTTTCGAATGTCCATCACGAGTGCTGCGCACTGTCAAGGTTTTTCCGGGAGAATTAAACTGGTCTACCTGAGCCAGTTGTCTGCCATTCACCCACAGTCGGACTGTCAATCAAAAGTCTGTCATCCTAGATCGAATGTCTTTGAGTGTTTTTGGAGCTAACCGTACAAGCTGCGATCTCAAAACTGCTCACCTTGACTCCACGGGGCCCGGGATATCCAACCGGCCCTTGTGCTCCTGATAAACCCTAAATAGAAAAGTCAGTTTAGAGTTCAAGCAGTGAAGGAGAAAGCACTGCATTAACAATAAATACCCTGTCATTTATCTATGATTAAACTATTGCACGCCTAATATAATACGTTAACATGAATGCTTGGTGATGATGATGCAGCGCAAGGCTACATTGGTGAAAACGAAACAATGACCACACAATACGGATGGCTTGATTCAAGTGTGCAATTACTGCAATAGCGCATGCATAAAAGCACGCCGTTATGCTTTGTGAATGGTGATAATTTAGCGACTGCAGCTGGAGCGCCTGTAACAAAAGGCTTCAGACAGAGGGGACCATGAACAGGACAGCGCTTTTCTGCGTGGTGCTGCATTTAGACTCTTGGCTCTCTCCGTTTCCTCTTCAAATTTTCAACGCTTATTCAGGTCAGTGGAGCAGCAGTGTGTGCGTGTGATTGTAACCCACCTGGTGTCCCTTCTCCCCAGCGGGTCCCTCTCTTCCAGGATGACCCTGTGATTTGAACAGGATAACCAGGTGTTAGCATGACAGCGGGCTGATTAGGGGACATCCTGTTTCTGTGAGAGAGCTAATGAGCCAACACAAAAGGCCAGGCCTGGACTAAGGATTCTGCATCATCGCTTTTTCAGCATTCTGTGCATGAAAATTATGCTGTGAAGATTTATTGTGAATATTTGTGGTAGTGAATGAAATTTGCCAATGCGCATGTGTCCGTACGCACCATAGTGCCCCCTGCTGGCTAGTAGAGATACTTTATAAATAAAATAAATTAAAATTCAGTCCTATGATAGTTTTGGAGAACAGTACTTACAGGAGGACCATCAATCCCAGGAAGGCCCTGCATTCCAGGTTTGCCCTCAGGGCCCTGTTTGGAAAAAAAAACACAAACGAACAAACACACACGCTTGTTAAATGCAATCAATATCAATAATGTGCTTAGGCACATTTGAGAGAAGGTATGTGTGTGTGTGTGTGTGTGTACGTACGTGAAGTTTTGCTATTGATTATCTGTCTAGCTTCATATGGAAATATGAATAAAAGCACACACACTAAGATGCTCACTCACCCACACTCAACGCTTCTTTTCAAATGCTCATCTAGTAAGGGGTCAAAGGTCAGTGCTTTAAAACTGAAATAAAGCAAGACTTGTAGAGTTTACCTTCTCTCCTGGCAGGCCTATAGGTCCCTGTGGACCAGGGAAGCCCTGAAAAAGAACACAATTCTTTATTCAAAGGCAAAAGTGTTAGATTAGTTCTACAGTAACAGTGCACATTTGCATTGCTGGCATGGCTTCATTAGGCAGTACTGGAGTGTAGATAGATGTATACCTGTATGCCTGGGTTCCCCTGTTGACCTGGAGGTCCAGGTTCACCAGGTGGTCCCTGTAAAATGGTGAAAAAAATCATTAGTTTTGCATGATGATAATCATCATTTTGTAAAGACATTAGTTTAGGACTTTTGCTGCCTTCAAGTCCTGGGAAGTTTCTACTTTAGTTTGCAAGTCTAATTATGACTATGTGCGTTCATTTAAAATAGACATGGTGGGATATTTAATATTTATTCTCTTTATTTAACTTTTTTTATTTGCTGCTATATTACCACAAAATCAAGAGCAAAGGATGTGCATTATTGATGCTTTAACTATGTGTTTTAGATCTCTCCAGCTGTCACTGAGAACGATGGGAAATATAGTTTTGCTGCGCAGGGCTGTCGCCTCATAAACTGGCTAAATGAGAAGTATTTTCTGTCAAGCTTTATAACTGATTTTAATCAACAGCACACAAAGTGCATACAAACTAAAATGTACAGTCAACATTCACAATGAAAATTCAACCCATAGAAAAAAAAATCAACTCCCAGTTTGTAAAAACAACAAATAATGTGTCGAGAATTAAACACTGAGAATGGGAGACTTACCCATATGGGTAATGGCCAACATATCCATATACTTTCATTGTAAGTGCATTTCTGTCAACACATTTCTTTTTAAAAACTGTTGAATGAGTCCAAATTTTCTGTGGTAAGCCACAGATGTTGTCAATAAAGCTTGTTTTTAACCCAGGATCATTCATTTAATTACAACCAATATCAATTCGCTTCTCTTGTGATTCTTTAATTGACACGCCCCCAACTCTGAAAATTGGGGCTCAAAGAAAATGTAGAGTTCCCACTGGTAATTAAACCATTGTGGTATAATTCATTTGCAATCTTCGTGTAAATACTATCATTTCAACATGACTTAACGGCAGCATATGTCAATTGAAAAGATGCAGGCTTGAGGTAACTTTGCTCTACAGTTCTCAAGGGATCTGTTACCGTCTGCCAGTGCAACAGATCCTCTACAGGTTATTTCTCAATGGTTATATCAGACATGTTGTTTCGAACAACCATACTAAACCTTCCAGTGCTCTAATCTGGAATTAATTTGTCGGCCGACATTGTGTAATACATGCATGGAAAACTTCATAGTAGACCCACCAAGTTGCCCTTTGCCCCTTGAACACCATTGACGCCTTGAATTCCCTAAAAGCAAAACACAAGGTTTTGTTTCAAAATAATGCAGCAGTTAAACATCCTAATAACCCCACAGCACCTCTATTCATGTTGTGCATGAAAACTAGCCATTATGTAAATATGAAGGATGGGCAATTGTCTTACTTGCTGCCCAGGTGGACCAGGTGGCCCTCTTGACCCCACAAGTCCTCTTAGCCCCTGTAAAGAACAACAATCAGAAACTTATCAGAAACTCCCATTAACGTTATGAAGGTGAAGTGTGTTAATGATCGAATAGTATATAACTACAGATTACAGCTGGTATATGCATAAGGGTGTACATCTGTTTAGGCTGTGCTGTGCTGTGTTTGTGTGTGTGTGTGTGTGTGTGTGTGTGTATGTATGTGTATGGCTGGCGTGTGTGTTTTGTTTTTGTCAGTCTTGGTCTTTGTACACCGGCCAAGCCACCTGTTCCAGAGCCACATCTGTGATCTCCAGGGAGGTGATTGATATGGAAATATAATCATGCAGGCCAGGATTTCATCTCTTCCCTTCACCAATCTCCCAGCTCATCTATCTCCATCCCCACATTTATCTCCACAGCATCTCTCTCTCTCGGCAGGCACCGTGCTGTAATGGTGCTCAAGTCCCTTACTACTCTGGGTGATCCATTTAAACAGCCGGTGCCTCAATGGATCACAGCTCACCTGCCGAGACTTAAATGGCGCTTGAGCCACCATTAATCAGACTGTGCCAAGCATGAACACGGGGCTGCCCATGGGATGTCAGAGACGTGTATGTCTTTATGCGCCCATGTGCATGTGTATCTGTCTGTGGGTTGGGTTGTGCCACTCACAGGTTCTCCCGGTTGCCCTCTTGGTCCAACAGGTCCATCCGAACCCTGCAATAGTAAATGTCAATCAACATTTCAGATTAGTTTGCCAATATAATCATCTTCATTGTGGTAGGAAAAAAATAAGTGAGATCCGGCCTTTAGTCTTTGAGGAAGGATGTCAGAAGAGTTGTATGCAAAATATTCCCATTCTTGAAAGCTATGATCAATGTGAATCGTTGCTGCATACATTTTTCAACTTTGCATAATGAGAACATCCCACACAGTGCAAGGCTTGTCTCTTTCATGCGATTTGTGAGTACACACCTGGGGCAGTGCAGGGGATCTTTAAACGGATTATTAGTAATCTGATAAAAGACTCATTTAGGGGGTTTGCACAAAGCTCCGAAAAACAGGATAGAAGTAAAGGCGAATCTGTATTACCTTATGACCGGGCTCTCCAGGTGGACCTTGGGGTCCTGGTTTTCCCCTGTCTCCCTGAGGAATGTTTACATGAGAGTCACATTTGAGATACGGCACACAATGTGAATTCTAAATTAGATTTATTAAAAGTGAAGTGGAGCATTTAGACACATCTAAGAGCCACTCTTGAATGAGCAGTAAACAGACTGTGTGATTTGATTAAGTAATTTGGTGTTCTTTACGCACTCGATGTCCTTTGTTCCCTGGAAGACCAGGTAGTCCATCAAAGCCCCTGTCACCCTACAAAAAAGAAAGAGATCCATGAGCAAGATCGACAAAACACAATCAACCAGCACACTTCATTAGCTAAACAGAACTCTTGTTCTTTCACAATATCATATGCTTTGCTTCGAACACACAAACACACAGATGTGAGTAGTGACTATGGGGCAGAGGTGTGTGTGGCATGTGGCAGGGTTTGACAGGCCGCCTCAGAGGAACCTTCCCATCTGCTGCGATTCTCAGCCGGATGCGTCCGGTGCTGGGACTCTGAGAGCTGCGGGAGCACCTCACACTTCCTCATCAAACACGCTGCTGTTGTGCTAAATAGCTCTGTGTGATTTATTTACTGACGGGTCCTGCAGCTGGACAGGACTGAATGCTTGCTATTGTCAGTGCACACAATAAAACAGCTCTCAGTAGCAAACTGTTCCATCAATGACCAGAACGATTAGGGACAAATTAAAGTTTCCGGTGTTCCTTTTAGCTCTGGCAGCTGAATCTACAAATTTAGTACATACACACACAAGCTAATCACAAACAAAAATGGGATATTTGTGGTGGTTGCCCATGCAAAACTCGACAACATATAGAGAGCTGCAGGACTGAGTCCTAAAACCCAGAAATTACCATTTTTGCAATTCTGGTTATATCACCCCGAAGTCAGTGGGTTTTGTAATGGGTTTTTTGGTTAAAGGCCTGAAATAAGGTCTGTAGTTCACACAAGCTTAAAATATCTTCATGTTTATTCTACGACATAAAATACTTTAGTAATAATACCTCACTCGTGATTTTTTTTTTAAGCTTTTAAGTGTCTTAAAAATGGCGGATGGTAAAAAGTGGCTAAATGGGAGTACAGAAGTTGGGAGTTGTCGAGAACATTAAATATCATCACACCAAATAGGAAGACTTATCTACTCACTAGTCCATTTCCATTGTGTTTATAGAGTTGTAGCTTTTAAATAAAGATTTAAAGAGGTGTCTGAAGCTTAGTGGTGGTACAATAAAGTCATGTGACTGTATATTAGGCTTATATAAGTTGTGTTCATATGTGAAGATTATCTTGATGAACAAAATGTGTAGGAATCATTGACTTTTGTTGGTCACAAAGCTTGTTTTTTTGCAATAATCCAAAAGCCAGTGCAAAAAAACCTACTGGCTTTTTGTTGAGGGAACCAGGGTGATGCTAACTTTTGGATTGGCCTACAAAAATACGTCATCCCTGAAGAACTCTTCTGTGGCTGGTTGCTAGGGCATTGCTGTGCAGTTGCTAAGGAGTTTCTTGCTTCTTACAATTTCAAATGAGATATGTACTGAGGTTTAATATTTAGCATTAGGGTGGTTGTTCAAATCCCTAACCTAAGTATGAGCAATAGTAGTAGTGACTTGCCTTAGCAAGCAGCGCTAATAATCATAGGTTAAAGTCAGATTTGTAAACACAGAGAAGAAACTTGAATTGCAGAGGAAGCTGATATATATGGTGGAATACAGCCACAGTCCTTATTACTGTGCATGGCCTCTCCTAATGGGACTATATGTGACCCCGGACCACAAAACAGTCATAAGGGTCAATCATCAGATTGTACATCATCTGAAAGCTGAATAAATAAGCTTTCCATTGATGTTTGGTTTGTTAGGATAGGACAATATTTGGCCGAGATACAACTATTTGAAAATCTGGAATCTGAGGGTACAAAAAAAAATCTGAAATAAACTGGAAAATAAAGGACAAAGATTTCTTACCACTGGGCCTGGCCTCCCTGTGAGACCTAATGGACCTGGAGGGCCCTTCAATGATAGCTAGAAGCAAAGAAAAATAAAAACAAACAGAAAAGTTCCACATTTTTCTTCATCCTTAACCTGCATTTATACTTGTATTTGTACTGAATTTGTAACATTTCTATATTGTCCAAAATTAAAAAATGACCTATTGTCAAACCTGGCTTTAAGCTGAGTATAGATCATAAACAACTACGTATTGGGATAATACACTGTAACACCATGTAATATTACACAACATCTATAGTTTTACAATTTCTGAAGACATTGTGTGTAAAGCTAGGGTGTTGTAGGTTGTAACATGCCTAGAGTTCTGAGCAGATTTTGTGTGTTGGTGCGCTGTAAAAAAGTAAAACCAAAGAAAGAAAAAAAACTTCAACCTAATGAAGTCAGGTCAATTCAGTCATATTAAATTATATTTTTATTTGAATAAATCAAGTACACTACAGTTCAAAGATTTTTGGTCATTATGTTTTTTGTTGTTGTTTTGTGAATAAAAAAATAATCTTATTCAACAAAGGTGCATTGATGCATTGATTTATAAAAAGTGACAGTAAAGACAGTAAAAAAAAAATATTTCAAATAAACGCTCTTTTGAACTTTCTATTCATCAAATGCTGTCACGGTTTTCACAAAAAATATTAAGCAGCACAGCTGTTTTCAACATTGATAATAATAAATGTTTCTTGAGCAGCAAATCAGCATATTAGAATGATTTCTGAAGGATCATGCGACACCGAAGACTGAAGTAATGGCTGCTGAAAATTCAGCTTTGCATCACCATTTCTATATTGTCCAAAATTCAAAAATGACCTATTCTCAAACCTGGCTTTAAGCTGAGTATAGATCATAAACAACTACGTATTGGGATAATACACTGTAACACCATTTAATATTACACAACATCTATAGTTTTACAATTTCTGAAGACATCGTGTGTAAAGCTAGGGTGTTGTAGGTTGTAACATGCCTAGAGTTCTGAGCAGATTTTGTGTGTTGGTGCGCTGTAAAAAAGTAAAACCAAAGAAAGAAAAAAAACTTCAACCTAATGAAGTCAGGTCAATTCAGTCATATTAAATTATATTTTTATTTGAATAAATCAAGTACACTACAGTTCAAAGATTTTTGGTCATTATGTTTTTTGTTGTTGTTTTGTGAATAAAAAAATAATCTTATTCAACAAAGGTGCATTGATGCATTGATTTATAAAAAGTGACAGTAAAGACAGTAAAAAAAAAATCTATTTCAAATAAACGCTCTTTTGAACTTTCTATTCATCAAATGCTGTCACGGTTTTCACAAAAAATATTAAGCAGCACAGCTGTTTTCAACATTGATAATAATAAATGTTTCTTGAGCAGCAAATCAGCATATTAGAATGATTTCTGAAGGATCATGCGACACCGAAGACTGAAGTAATGGCTGCTGAAAATTCAGCTTTGCATCACAGTAATGAATTACATTAATAGTTATAGAATATATAATAGAAAACTAACAGACACATCTCCTCACATAGCCACATAACTTGTAGGTTTAATTTGTGTCTGTATCAGACATACAGGATGAGTTACAGTACATTCCAAATTTCAATATTTTTGGTGTTAGTGGTTTGTTGAAATCCCTAAACCTATATATGCGCATTAGTGAAAGTGATGCTTGTTTTAGCAAACACCACTGATTATACAGTCATGATAAATGAGTGAAGGGGACAGATGTAAGAGCCAAAGACCGTTTGGTTTGGGTGTCTTACTTTGGTCTGTTGTAAGATGGCTTGAGCCTGCGCCTCTTGAGCAGATATCACAGGTCCCTTCTGAGAGTCTACTCCATACTGGAACTGAGTGCAAAAAAGAGATTACTAACTAAATAATTTATGTACATTAAGTAAGTCACTATTAAAGATATATTTTAACATGTTTAGCACACAAATAAATGGAAATATACTGGATGCCATTAAGTCTGATTATATCACAGCTCCACCATGTGGCCAAAATATGCTATTGAGGCCCAGGCCTCATGTTTTGTGATGTAAAATTTTAATTATTTTCTTCTGGCAAACAACTCCTGCTAATGAGATGTAAGTGGTTTAAATGTGTTACTGAAGGAATGACTTCATCTTACGGGTAACATAAGCAAAGTGCCTGGAGGACCTGGTATCCCATCAGCGCCAGGCAGCCCTGGACGTCCCTCAGGACCCTTGTGGGAGGAGAGACAATTAGCTCAATTAATTGAAGGAGCATTTCTGTACATGCATGTGTGCACAATTGTATCAGCAATACTTACTTGATAAAACAATCGCATAAGCAACAGCGTTCTTCGTTTATTCCCTATCCATTGGCTTGTTTCCTGAATGCAGTCTAACACTTAATGATTTTTTGTTTGTTTGTTTTTTTACGTGTTGCCTGTATCAAAGCCTACTGTGCTCATTTGCCTGGTGTAAAACATTTAAGATCTCAGCCAATCAAAGCTGTCAGTCAACAGTCCTCTTCCAACAACACAGAACTTCAACCTTCAAAAGAAAAGATAAAACCTGCGGCTGGAATATATTCCTTTGCCTTTCAGCTTCGGAAACGTTATAGGATCTCTATAGATATACAAGGCCAAAAAGAGCTTACATCTCAAGTGACACACTTTCTCAACCTAGTCTGATGTTTTTACTAAAACAACTCTTTTGTGAAGCTGACACCCCAGAGAAGTTGATTCGCAACCGGCCAGAGGCGCTAAACTGAGCAGAGACAAAAGAATAATCTATCTTCATCCCTACTGTCAGAGGTAAATGATGAATTCAGGCTCTTTATTGCAGTTAGAAGTCTGCGGTCTGTCTTACCATGCTAAGGGATCATGTGTAAAGAGTGAGTCACACTACAAGAACAGACACACTGTCCAGCGCAAATTAGGTCAAACTATCAGATGAGTCATGGCTCCCTGATGCCTAAGGTCTCAGTAGAGGTTGGTGGTCCCTTCGAGTGGCTCTGAGTCATCGGTGAGGTTTGTTCTATCTGCACACGAGTTCAATCATCCCCCCGATCCCCCGGTTGTGTCCTGTGTGTCCTGGACTCGAGGTTCTTGCCAAGTCATGTGGGTCAAGTGATTATGAGGACACTCACCATATCACCTGGGTCTCCACTGGGTCCCGGGGGGCCTGTGATGCCAAGGATTCCTGGAAGACCCTGGGGAATAAACAGACACACAAATTGTTTTGTTTTTTTATGAAAAAATACTGGACACCACTTCAAGACCACCTTAATTCACTTGAAGGCTGTCAATTTCTTCCCTATGTTTTTCCATATTATTCTTAAAAACTCCATGCTTTATTAAATCTTAATAGTATTATGACTTACTTGTGGTCCTGGTGGGCCAGGAGGTCCTTGAAAATATGTGCCCTAGTTAGTATAAAACACAAGGAGATTAGAATTAGATTGCATTAGCCAACATAAATCAGTGTACAGTATGTGTGTGTGTGTGTGTGTGTGTGTATGTGTATGTATGTGTGTGTGTGTGTGTGTGTGTGTGTGTGTGTGTGTGTGTGTGTGTGTGTGTGTGTGAGTATGTATGTGTGTGTGTAACTTCACACTCCAGCACTCACTGGTTCAACAACAGCTGGCTCTCCCTTCTGTCCTTTGTCAAATCGCCTGCCCTGTAAGAGAAAGAACAGGTAAAAGATGAGATCTTGGTCACAGCTGGTTGAGATTGGAGTTGTTACAATAATTTTCAAAATAGTTTATAAAATTGTCAGTGTAAATTTGTGATTATTGATACCAATTTTTATACCACACCAAAAACAATAGAACATGAACATTTATTTAAGAAGTTAAATATTTAAAGAAAGAAAGAAAGAATTAATGAATAAATAAATAAATAAAACTAACTAACTAACGGAAAGTGGGCATTTATTTAAAAAGTTAAATATCAATATAAATACTGTATTCTCAAAATCAATTAAAACAATGACTTTAGCTTTCAGTATTTTTCAATTAAATAAACATTACTTTTTGAAAATCTTTTCAAGTTTTTATTTATGTAAACATTAAATAATAAATAAATAAGCTAATGGAAAGTGGACACGTATTAACAAAGTTAAATATTAATAGAAATATTAAATAACTGAATTAAAACTGACATTTATCTTCCATTATTTCTCAGTTAAGTAAGCATTGCTTTTGCATATTTATGCATTTTGCATATTTTGACATAAATCTGATACTGTATAAAAACTACTATTACTGCATTTCTGTCTTATTTTACTATCAACTTGGGCATCCCTAAATGGGATAAAGAGGAAATCCATGTTTGCTTGTGTGTTTTTAGTTAATTTATTATTGAGGTACAAAAGTGTACCTTTCCATCCCATGTGCCCGGCATCTCCCTCTCCGCTGGGTCAAATCGGTCCTCATAAACCTCATATTCCTCATATTCCTGTTCAAAGCTGTTCGAGCCATTTTGAAACTCATCATTCTCCAAGATCTATGAATGCAGAAAACATCCCAACAGCATACAGTCAGGGTTATCACCTCAAACATGCTTGCAATGTTCGGAAAACCCAGAAACAGAAACCAGAGCACATACCTCATAGTCTGTGATATTGGGCCCAACTGTCACTGTGGAGACCAAGAGCTCATTGTGTTCATCACTGTAAAGGTCATCACTAAACTCCTCAACCTCTGGTGTTTTAATCGGCCTCTCTTCCTGCACACCGACACAGCAGAATTAGACGCAGCACAGCCATGGCAACCACAACCATGGAGATACCGAGCACAGTCAGTCATTTCCACTCTACATTAGTTTGGGTTCACTGGGCGTCTGAGCTTCAGAGACACTAAGGCCTGAAATATAGTCTACGCAAGTACATGATTGCAAATTGCGAAATGTATCTGAATGCAATTCATACGTATGTGTTGCATTCTCAGCGTTGCCACAAGGGGGTGCTATATAGTGTGTATTAGCATAAACTTGTCTTGTTTTATGTTCCCCCCACCCAACCTCACCTCAAGTTAACTACTGTCATGGCTGAGTGACAGTAAGATGAAAATCTTGTTTTAAGTTACAGCGCTGAAGAGTAACAGATGTTTGATTGCAACTCTTTTGCCCCCTTGAGTACCAAGATTTGTTTGTAATGCAAGAAGCCATATTAAGTATGTACAACGTGCCTGTGCACTTGCAGTGTGCTGGCCAAGCATTTGCAACTGCGTTTGTGTACTTGCATAGAATATGTTTCTGGCCTAACTGTGCTTCAGATCTCTAGGTCAATGATGACTAATTAAAATGTTAGCACAATTCACAGAAACGTTTTGGTTACAAAGCTGGCTTGAAGGCATAAATACTGCTGAGCTGGTGAGTGTGGGGTAGGTGGTTTTATTAACAATGGGAGATGTCAGCACAAAAGCCGTATGTTCTGGTGGCAGCCATAGCAGCATGAAAGGAAGGGTGGGCAAACTTGGCACACTGATATTGGCATCTGAGTTTTACCTCAGCAGAAGCTTGATTCATACAGTAAAAACTACAGCTATCAGAGCTGTCAGAGGTGAATGTATTGAAAAGATACATGAAAATTTATTTATGTTAGACACACCCTTACAAAAAAGAAGTTTATTCAAGTGTGCTATTAGTATACTTCTTTTAAACTAAAAAATAGGAAAGTATACTTTCAGTCTAATTTTATG